ACTATCGCTATCTGTAAGTTAATAATGTAGAAGGACAATTGTTACTTAGTACATATAGTGCTACAATGATATTGTTAGAGTACATAGTCGGGGATTATAAGTTTAACAAAGCTTTTATAATAATCTCCTTCTCTATGGTATTCCTTTCAACCATTACTTTCTCTTCTATACTTTCTAGTGTTAATAAGGAGTTTGTGAGTGTGATAGAAGCTAGTGCAAAGGTAACAGGTGCAGTGAATGAAGCAGAGTGGGTACTCCTTTATCAAGGGATTGCTAGAGGGCTGGGCAATCTAGACACTAACATAACAGCTTGTGTTAAAGATGGCAACAACACTATTGATGCTTTTAAAGAATCCTTTAAAGCTTTTGAAGACCGACAGATAATTAAAGGTTAGTGAAATGTGATTTGTTCTCAGGCAAATACACGTAAATGAATGCAGTTCAGACAGGAATGGAATAATAGTGGTGTATTTAATGCAATAAATTCTAAGTCTTTGTTTGTATTATTTTGCTTCATAATGTAAGGTTCTTTTTTTGGGAACAAGTGGTCAAATTTTGAGATTGGTGCACCCACCCATTAAAACTCTAGTAGATGTAAAATGTACACATCCTGTCAGTAGGTTGGAGAAAATGTGCTTGTGTCTAATGTATGTATCTTTTAAATTTATTTTGATTAATGTATGTATGTCTCCTCTTTATACTCATCAAGGCTACTCCACTAGTTGGTGTTAGACCTTCAACACAACTCTCTCTCTCTGTTCTACCACTTGTATCTTTGCTCTCTGTATTATGTGTTGTAAAGTATTAATAATAATAATAATAACAATTTATTTTGTTATACTTTCTGATCATTGCAGTGCTTATATTGAGATTTAAAAAAATTGATTTATAAGTTGGCCAGAGGTAAAGACCACAATAAGTATGATGGTATCTCATCAAAAATGGTTTTCCATTTTATTACTTTCATATCTGTACTTAGTCATTAATGGCCAGTGGGAAATCAATTATTTTTTGAGAGCATTATGGCTAAATTTTGTACATAATAATAATTGTATTTTAATCTACAGGACTCCAATTGTTT